AGAGAATTATCTTCTTCCTCAGTGTTCTTCATCTCCTGTTTCTCCTCTCCTCCAGTCCTCACCACTCCCAGCAGCTGGAGTTTGGACAGCGGTACCAGAGAGGCTCTGCCCTTCCTCTCCTCTCACGTCGGTAGCGTCATGGCTCCACCGGTTCCACCTCGGAACATCCTCCGTGGTAGGAAGCAGCAGCTGCAGGTGTCGGTGTCTGCACGTTAGAGTGATGGGATAACGTCTGATTACTGCTGCAGTTGAAATGTTTCTTGTGCACATTAAAGTTGAACGAGTCAGAGCATCGTCCTGCAGCACCAAACCTAAAAACAACAGTGGCTGCAGACAAGAGCAGGAAAATCATGGATGACAACAAACACATCAAAGGAGTTCCTTCGCCACTACATTTATTTTACAAGTTTTATAGATTTTGTATGAAAACGTGTATTTATTTTATTTTATTGATTTGGTTTATTTGTCTGCAGCTGAAAATACAGAATCAGGTTTTTCTTTTCATTTTAGAAGCTTCAGGACAACAATTGAGTGAAGGAACATCCTCTGGTCATTGCCCATGCGTCAAAGTCAACTTCAAATTCAAGAGCCTGCTTTAAAAACACAAACTTTAAAGTTTGGATCTTTTTTTTTCCGTGTCCTTTCTGGCTGTGAAGCAAACAGAATTAATGTCTGAATGCTGGTGACAAGCCGTACAGATTTTACTCTCAGATGGAGCATCAAAGCATCTTCTTTTAATGTCACGCCTGATACTTAAAACTTTATTGTTATTGTTTTTTGAATGCTTTGTAATTCCATCCAGACACGGAGACAGAAGTGAAAGAGAAAGGAGCGAACAAAAGGTGGTGGTGGTGGTGGGGCACAAAAATAAAACGAGTCTGCTTCTAGACCTGCAGAAAAGGGACACACAACAATACAACAGGAGCAAGCTATCACTGTGTCAACTTGATGAGGAAATATAAAATCAACATTGTTTTACTGAACAATCACACAATAATAAAACACAGTGCATTTAGTGTCAACCACAGCCATAAGACATGTGTTGAACGTGCCCAAGTCCATACTTATGAGAGCACCATGTGAGCACCTGTGTGTGTGCATGCGCTTGTATATGTAAGGTTTCTCTATAAAAGCGTCCAGAGAGTGTGAGGGGCCACAGATCTGCCCCCCAAAGATGAATAGGAGATGGACGGAGCTCTAAGTCCCAGAGATGCAGGAGCTTCCCCAGAGCACAGGGACCCCAAGGAGACCGCGACCAGAAAAGCCCCTGCCCCCCTCGAGAGGCACAGAGGATTAACCTGGGGGGCCACAACCAGCAGCCGGCAGAGTCTCGGGAGATATCAGCGGCAAGCCCACAGACCCGCCTGCAGCCTCCCACCCCCCAGCCGGCCGAGCCCGCGACCTAGGGGCGACCACCCCTGCCGGGTACCCAGCAGAGCCCAGGGACCCAGACCCCACCAGGTCGCCACCGGGATTGATCAGGCAGACGCCAAAAATCTTAAACCCCCTGACCCGGGAGCCACGAACGCTCAGGCAGACCAAGGCACTGCACTCCACACCAGGTGTGGCAGGGGGAGGGGAGATTTGGATCAATTTAATCAACATTCTGGTCAGTGCCCATTATTAGCCTGGCCTGCCAGACTCTGTTTAATTCCACACAGAACTATGAGCTTTCCCATAAGGAAGCATGGGGCTGGCTGCTGAGATTACCACACGAGGCTTTATCAATTAAGAGAATCCAAACTATTTATATGGATCAAGAAAAAAGTGGGTCATCTGGTTTGGTAGTTTGGGTCATAATGTTTGGTAGAAATCTCAATTTGAAAATATTAAATTTGATCAACTTTCCCCAAAGTAGCTTCAAACTCCCACCCCACCCATCCTCCTTTCTGATCCAAACGTTTTGTCTTTCTCCTCTTTTACTTTGTCATCTGTGCTCTTTCTCTCTCTCTTTCCTCCTTTTTCTACTGTTTTTCTTCCTCACTACACCCCTATCCCCCACCCCCCCTGTCTGAGAATGAGTGTGAATCTCAGTCGGACCTGCTGTGTCTCCCCCTGTAGGACAACACCTGTCGATGCACTTTGATGCTTTCCACAACCAGGTCAGCGACTTCCCTCCAGCTCTCCCTACGCGCTCCTTAAGAAAGGTACCCTCCTCCTCCTCCTCCTGCTGTTAGTGTGGATGCCTGAGTGTCTGTGTGTCCGTCTACGCTCCTCAGGAAACTCCCTTTACTCTGATTCCATCTGTGTTTGTTCCAGGTTCGTTTCTAAATCCCATTGCTGTGTTTTAGATAAATAAAAGTTACTTCTCAGGAAGTAACTGAGGCATCTGAGGTTTTACACCTGAAACACTCGTCATCATTCTGTAAATGTGCTGAGTCATGGTTCACAGCTGAAACACATAAACTAATAACAAAGACCCAATCTGAGGAATTAACACCTTCTCTTCCCTCTACAACTGTTTTGTGTTTAGTTTCAGTCTTTGTGTCCATTTCCACATTTTTTAATATTAAACTATTTTTTCCCTCAGGTTCCTTTTTTATGTTGACTAATTCATAATTTTTGATCAAACTAGTAGAAAAAGTGTCTTCTGTCATTTTTATCTGATGTTATAAACAAAAAACAGAATTATTCTGACTGGTCTTGTAAGATTTTTTTTAGATTTTAGTTTTTCATTAAGATTTTTTAGATTGTTTCACATGGAGCTGAATAATAAATAATGAGCAACTGTCTCCCCTCTCCCCCAGTCTCCCCTGCACCCTATACCTGCCTCGCCCACCAGTCCTCAGTCCATCCTGGATGGCAGTAACTCCAACCTGTCGGGCAGCGCCAGCTCTGGGGTCTCCTCTCTCAGTGAGAGTAACTTTAGTGGCCCTGCCTCCTCCTCTGACCCCTCAGCCAGCCGGACGGACACCCTGGAGTCGGTCCCGAGCAGCCAGGCCTGGACTACCGACCAGGAAGACCTGGACTCTCCCTATCAGCCCATCAGGTACAGCATGTCAGAGCCCGACGTCCTGGATGGAGTAAAACCCCCGCCCTGCCGCAGCCACTCCGCCCCTGGAGGGGTGGGGCCAGCCCAGGTGGTGTCCCAGGCTCCACCTCCTCAGTCCCAGCAGCCAGTTGGGCTGCAGCACCAGCAGCACCTCTTCTACCACCACCACTTCCACCCGCACTACATCCCCCACAATCCACCTCTCTACCACCTCCACGAGCCCCCCCCAGCCCTGCCACCTAAACCCTACCTCAGAGAGGGCTGCATCCCTGAGGAGGACCCCCTGACCTCCCAGTCTGGACCAACGCCTCCCGCTCCTCGACCAATGCCGCGTAAGATCTCACAGCCCATCATCGCTGCAGCCAAGGACGAGCAGGCGAAAGTGGCGTGGGAGCACGGCATCGGCGAGGAGTGAAAGGAGGATGGCTGCTGGATTTGAGGAGCAGAAACAAACGTCTGTCTGAGGAGAAAAAACTACAAGCATAAACAGAAACATTCAGATTCAGAAGGGAAAAGCTGCAAAGTTAAAGGTTCAGATCATCAGTTTAGAGCCAGATGCGACCCCAACATCTGGAGATGTCTCTCCTCCTGGTACCACGTCACAGAATGGACCTAAACCTCCACTTCCTGAGTTAGAATCAGAAATGTTGCCGCTTTTTTTCTAAATTCATCATGACAGACTAACAGTTGTGTATTTTTACTCTGACTTGCTCAGATCTGAAACCTGAGAAGGGATCCTCTTTAAAGGTTTGCACAGGAATTAAAATCTTTTGATACCTCGCTCTGAACATTTAAAACAAACGGCACTTTATTAAAGCAACAGAGCACCAAAACACGTAGAAGTAATCAATCTGCCCTCTAATATTTGTATCAGTATTATAAGAAAGGAACAAAACCAGGGTTTCCAGAACTCAGTAATTTACCTGAAACGCATCAAGTATAAAATTGAATCGTCCAGCTGGATAAATAAATAAATCCATTAGATCATCAATAACAAGCAGCCTTCATGGAGCTCAGAAGTGTTTTATAGTCTTGTGTAGATAAATGTTAAACAGTAAATAAAGGTTTATAAACATAATTTATATTCAACAGTTTATTTGGACTGAAGGTGTAGCAATATGCAAGATGACGACTTCCTGAGTCGGGATTTGCTGCTGGAGGATGTGCTGTTGTTTGGAGATGATGATGTCATTCTTGTTTGGATTAGGATGATGTCATTCTTCTTGTTTGGATTAGGATGATGTCATTCTTCTTGGAGACAATGATGCCATTCCTTCCACTCAAACACTGAAAGGGTTTAATGATGCAACAGGTGAGCTTTGGAGATAACGACACTGAAATGATGTTTTACTGTTTTTATCTGATGTAATCAGGAGTGAAACCGTCACGGTGCAGGGACAATGTTTATAGAGAACATTAACTATGATAAATAAACTCTGTTATTTTGTATGAATGAGCTGTAACCACTGAACATTTTTAACCAGGGTCTTGTTTTTATGCATGTTTATTTTTTGGAAGCTCAAACTGGGAACACTGAAGTAAAACCGAACTGTGCTCTGATGTCCTCTGGTATAAGAGAAGAGAACATTTGGGTCAACAGATGTTTTATTTTGAACATTTGCTCATAAATGATAAATGTGAAGGAATTCATGTTTTATTTTAGTGTAACAAGGTTTTAAACTTCGGATCAGACTGCAATTATTTCTCAGATTTAAATGAAATGTGAACAAACTCCTGGTTTCTGTCAGGATTTTAGGTTTTCTTCATGTTTTTGAAGAAATTTGAGTTTTCGTTGCAGAAAGATGAGACTTTATGGTCTGTTTTTACCTCCACACCATCTCACTGATGAAAGTACTCAGTTACTCAATTAAGTTTTACGCTGACATGTTTTGTTTTCATTTTTTCTGGAGTAATGGATCTGCGTGTTTTACCATGAAAATATTAGTTTCACCTGTGTGTTTCCTGCACTTTAGAAGGTAAAGAATATTAAACAATAACTTCAATCACAGTATCTGGGTCTAAATCATGATCTATTATTCATCATAAATCTAAGAACTCATCTATTCAAATCAATTTTAAGAGACAATTTTAATCATGAAGATTATTAAACTTTGTATTTTCATTATAGATGCATCTTGTTGCAGCCTCTTAAGTAGACTCTGCTCATTGCGACACTTTATAGTTCACATGCGAAAACGGCTTGAGTTGCATAATCCCTTTAAATATTTTACGTATAAAAAGCTTGTGTGATAGGTTGATTAGATAATTGGTCTTGAGTTAGTAAAGGGTAGAATACCTTCTCCGGGTCAGGAGCGAGGTCCTGCTCCAAGTGGAGGAGTTTAAGTATCTCGGGGTCTTGTTCATGAATGAGGCAAAGATGGATCCGGAGATCAATAGGCAGTGTAGCGACATGAATGGCCTCATTTGTGACCCAAAGGTCACACTTCCTCAGCTGGGTCGAGCTGTTCTCGCTGTACTTCTATTTACAGATTATCCGTCACAGGAGACACAAAGTCTGCTGTACACCATCTTTAATCTGACTGCCTTTATCTGACTGCTGTTCCGTCCGCAAGATGAAGGACACTTCAAGATTTAAAAGAATAATTTTTAATAAACTCTTTTCACTGTCCTATTACAAGGTTCATAAATAATCATCATGGTTCATTATAAATGGATTTAATTACTAAAATGAACTATTATTCTTTGGTTAATAATAATTATCATTTATGATAATCAGTAATGTTTAACAGTGTAAAGAAGGTCATGTGCACTTATACACACCATGCAGGACACAGACATCAGGGTAAAGGTAACTGCACCTCACATGTCTTTGTTCCATAACAAGCAAATCTTTCTGTCTCTGAGAGGGCGTGTCCTGAGGTGTGTTAAAACCTAAACTCCTCAGTTCAAGTTCAGTTCTTGAGCTCACCAAAAATCTCTCCGTGGCACGAGAGTCCCAGATGATCGGGTTGGCCGCTCGACCTCTACTAAGCTGTTCTGTCATGCTGATAGAATTGCTCCAACAAAAAGCCATCTGCAACCAGCTGACGCAAAACTCCTTCAGATTTATTGATTTTTGAGACACAACCAGTTTCATCAGTCGTTGTGACCCGGAGACATCTCAGGACCAATTTGGTCGCACCACGGTTCTTCTACCCACCTCGTGCTCGGATGTCATCATCTCCTCCTGACATCTCGGATCCAAGAAGGGGGTCTCCTAACTGGGTGAGGTAGACACTTCCGACAGATTGCGTCCCTATGCCTGTTTCTTTAAGAAATAACTTAGCTCAGCTGCAAAACAACTTTTTCACCCAGAATGCATTTTCTCTCTCTGATAGAAATCTTCTGAGATTGCATTCACACATCCAACACACATGTTTCATTTTAGTTTTCATCCAGACACAGGTTGCTTCAATACCAAGTTTTAATATCAAAGCCTTTATAAATTGTCATTTATAAATTGTCATTTATGAATTTTCTTTTAAATTGTCATCTTTAAATTGTTAGTAATAAATTCTTAACTTTTTACACCTGACTCTTCTTTGACATGAAACTCAGAGTGGTGTATATTTGGTCATTGAACGAGCAGAGATTTCTCTTCTGATTTAATAAATAAACTTTTGCTATTTATTAAATCGCTTAAATTAAATATTAATCTTTGGATTAAATATAGACCAAGCCAGCTGGTGTATGAACTTCTATCGATTATATAAATATCCGTGGATATCTATGTAAATATAAGTTCATAAGCCAAATTGTTTGTTCTTTATCAGGATTTAAAGAGCAAGTAACGTCTAAATTAACTTTTTTTTTTGCTTTAAACTTTTTCATTATTTTAGCATTTTGGTGCATTTTCTTTAAAAATTAAAAATTCTGCCTAAATACCACAGCATAGCACCACCTTCAGCTTAAAACATAGAGTTTGAGTCATTTTGAATACACTTTAGCCAATGGCTAAAGAGAAAGAAACTACGTAAACCAGTAGAGTACTACGTAGCAGCTCTGTGTCAAAGTTATAAAGCATCGAGAGTCTCGGCCACGCCTTGTCGAGTTAGGAGTTGGATTTGCAAGCGAGTGTAGGATGGTTAGCGGTAGTTCATTAGCACATAGCATTAGCATATCCTAATCTTTAGCATAGCTTTAAGTGTTACACATGCTTATTTAGTGTTAGCTTGGCTGTTGGATATTGTAGTTTAGTTAGTGTTTGGCTGTTAGTGTTATAAGGAAAGTAGTTCAGGTTTAGTGCTCCATGTCGTGTTAGTATGGTGAGAAGGTGTAGTGTAGTGCGGTTGCACTCCTTTCCACTGGACTTAGAAATTAGGTGCCAGTGATTGCGCGCAATCGGTGTACTGGAAAACAGTCAGCTCCTGCATGGTGCTGTAGTTTGCAACCAGCATTTTACCCACGATTCTTTCGCCAACATGATGGAGTTTGAACTGGATTATTCTGCACGTCTCCGTTTGAAGAGGGAGGCCGTGCCCACCGTGGCTCTTCCGCGATTTAGATGCAGCCCACCGACTCTGCTCCCCCACCATGGCGGACTCCAGTCTGAGGTGAGTACGCTAAATAAAAATTTTAACATCTTCATCAGAGCTGAATAGCAAACAGCGTTAAATCCTAGTTATGCAGATTGTCTACGCTACAGCAGATTGGTGCTGCGTCTGCAGTGATGCGGGCATTGTACCAGTCTGCCGTGGTGAAGAGAGAGCTGAGCTAGAAGGCAAAGCTCTCAATTTACCGGTGGATCTACGTTCCTACCCTCACCTATGGTCACAAGCTTTGGGCAGTGACTGAAAGAACGAGATCGTGGATACAAGGGGCCGAAATGAGTTTTCTCTACAGGGTGTCTGGGCTTTCCCTTAAGAGATAAGTTGAGAAGCTTGGTCATCCGGAAGGGGCTCAGAGTAGACCTGCTGCTCCTCCACATCAAGAGGAGCCAGTTGAGGTGACTCGGACATTTGATTTGGATGCCTCATGGACGTCTCCCTGATGAGGTTTTCCAGGCACGTCCAACCAGGAGAAGACCTAAAGGAAGACACTTTGTTCGGGTTTGAGTGCTGCACAGATACTATTCATGCTGCTGGGGTCCAGCTGCCACTGGATCAGAAACAGACCAAGAACACATTTCTAAATATTCTCCATTATCTTTTCATCACAAAGACACTTTTATTAAGACATTGAGCAAAAAATCACATCCAGGTCTGAAAATGGGTTCCAACAGAGAAATAAACCAACATCCAAAGATTAAATCTCAGTGATCTGAAATGTTGGTTTGATTGCAAGGAAAAACTTAAATAAAATAAAACATGTTTTAAATGGAACAAGTGTGTTAGAAACCAGAAACTCTGCCCAATTAAACAGAATAAAATCAGTAGAACAGCTTTTACTGTTAGACTCACTTATCTCCACATCTCTCTTTGAGGTAGTTGTTTCCCTCTAGTGGCAGAGTACTGCAGAACATGTAAAGGAAACATCTGTCTCCCTCTGGACCAAATCACTAAAGTCATTGTTGTTCAATTTTATTCATATAAAAGCAAATTTGACACATAAATAGCAGATAACTAATCCCATCTGCAGTGCACTTGTGATTCCTTCTGCTGGTAAAGAAGTTAGAGTGAAATTTTGGTGTATATATCAGGAATAAAACTGAGCAAAGGAAAGGAAAGGAAGGAGAGAGTTGGATGTTCTAACCTGGTCTATTCTATCATCATTATCATAAAAGTGCACGTGAACCCTCAGATCCTCGAGTAAAAAAAACCTGAACTCAGACGACCTTTTAGCCACGAAGCTCTGCAACAACTGAAGCATCTGATCTGCTGTTTCTGCAGCCCTCTGCTGCTGAGAAGGTAGACGGTGTCTCAGCGGGTTGAATGATTACAGGAACGAGCACAACTAGACCAGAGATAATGGTTTAATCAGATAACGTGAGACAGAAATAACTGAGCAGCAGGTCTGAGCTGCTTCTAAAACCAACTTTTTGTTCCACTGCTTGTTGGTTTGATCAGATTTTGACAAGAGAGGAAGGCAACAAGAGTTGGGGACGAGGTGAGTGTTGGTGGACCAGTGAGACGAGAATAAAGGACAAACATTTACAATTCAAACTCAAGACAAAATCCAGCAGGCAGGATTTTTTATGGTCATGTAAATATTTATTTTGATGACGTCAAAACAAATTTGACATTGTTGCCCGAATCATTTAGCAGAAAATAAAATGAAAGCAGCAATGATGCTCTGCTGGTCCCAGTAACAAACTGGTATGAGGTTACCCTCCACACAGGCACCTCCTGGCAGCCCCCCCCCCCCCCCCCCCCCCCCATCCTCCACCCATCTCTCAGCTGAACTCTGACTCCAGCTCTCCACCTCCTGGACAACAGCAGAAATTGTTTCAGTGTCTCAGTGAGTGATTCTGTGTCGATAGCCTTATAGTCTATGGTGAGTTGTACCCTTTTAATCCCAACATGGTGATTCAATTCAGTTCAATTCAATTCAATTTTATTGATATAGCGCCAAATCACGACAAGAGTCGTCTCAAGGCACTTCACATAATGGTGATGATAAAGGTGATGATGTATACACAAAAAATATAAAATCCTTCTAAATGCTGCATGTTTGGTCGGCCAGATGTTTGACACAGAGGTGAGGAATATTTGATTCCCAAAGATAAGTGAAAATAAAACACTGATTTGACCTCTGAAACTGATGTTTGAACAGAAACATTTCAGCGAGTGACACTGTCTCACCCCAGGAGCTGTTAGACAATAAAACATAACTATGGGCTGTAATAAGCTACGAGAACAACTGGTGATGTGTTGTTTATGAGACACAAGTCAAGTTAGAACACATGCGAACATCTGTAGAACAAAACAACCTGCAGCTGCTGAAGAAAGAAGGGAACGCACTGCTGAAGGTTTTGAGAGAGAGAGAGAGAGAGAGAGAGAGAGAGAGAGAGAGAGAGAGAGAGAGAGAGAGCGAGAGAGAGAGAGAGGGAGAGAGAGGAATTGAGAGAGA